GAAAATAACACAAAGACATATTTACCAAAATTACGTTAAAATACTTTGAAACACTAAAGAGCAAATTTATTCAACTAAATCGCCATTGCCTTTCAACTACGGCGTCCAGACGACTTCGGGATCTTCTGCATCTCTTCTGGGCGGTCTCCTTGTTTAATTCGTTGAATTCTGCCATCATCCTGACCTTCAGTTCATCATTGTTATTATAAAGAATTTTATTGATCTTTCGTTCAATTGCATTTCACGCATAAGAATCAAGGTGTTGCCGTCTAGGGAGTTAATTGGCCAGATGTAAGGGTTGATATGGACGCAGAAATTATCTGACATCATCCGTGACTGGGTTTTCCTGCTTGTTTGGCATTGTGCAGAGTCCTGTTGTCCGACATAGGGCCATCCATCAGCCACCCTCTTGACACAAAGCAACACTATCTCCTCAAGGCACTAAATGTAGGCCTCCGTGCTGAGTCTAAGACCCTCACTAGCAAATTCAGGAGATATTTTCTCATCAGAACGGTCCGAGTGAGTTTCCGAATTGACGTACCATTGTAATCGCTTTTAGACTCATCTAATTCTTTCGAAATCATCTGCACTGTCCTCAACTTGACACCTAAACGCTCTGAAATATTCGTATTGGAACTTCCGGCGCGATTTCCACGCAGTACAGCATACCGTTTCCAAATTGCAGGCAGAGAGAATTGCATCTTGATTCTCTTTTTCTCTAAGACGGTGTCCATCTGACTCTACTATACAGTCCAATCGACAAAAATCAAAAACAGACAGTGCGCATGTGCGAAATCAAAAATATAAAATGGCGACAATTTACCCATGCCACATTACATTTAATGTATTTAGCAAAAAATGAATAAATTTTGATGCTAAATATCTCTACTAAGTACATTTGATATATTTAGCTAAAAAATAACAAATACTATTTAGAATGCATTTAATATAATTTGCAAAAACAAAAAATACATTCAATACACTTACCAAAAAAGTCGCGAAATACTTTTAGAAAATACATTTAATGTATTTACTAATAATGCCAGATACGTTTCCGAAAGCATTTAATACACTTGACAAAAAGAAAATACATTTAATACATTCACCAAAAATCACCAAATTAATTTAACACATTCATCAACACTTACCAAATGCATTTAACACATTTATCTAAAAAAAATTTAAAATTACATATTTATAAAAAAATTCCCAAATACATTTAAAACATTTATCAAAACAATACCAAATACATTAACACATTTATCTAAAAAATTACCAAATACATTTAACACATCAAAAAATTACTAAATAGGTTTAAAACATTTATCAAAAAATTACGAAAAACATTTAACACATTTATGAAACAAATAGCCAAAAATATTTAACACATTTATAAAAATAAAATGAAAAATAACATTTAACGCATTCATCAAAAAATGACCAAATACATTTTACACATTTGGGAAAAAAATACCAAATACATTTAACACATACCCCCCCCCCCAAAAAAAAAACAAATACATTTAACGCATCAAAAAAATGACGAAATATAGTTAACACATTTATCAAAAAATTACCAAAAACATTTAACACATTTATCTGAAAAAGGGCCAAATACATTTAACACATTTTAAAAAAAATATAAAATACTTTTACACATTTACCAAAAAATTATAAAATACATTTAACAAAAAGTAACCAGATACATTTAACAGATTTATCTAAAAAATTGCCAAATACATTTAACACATGAAAAAATTACCAAATACACTTAATCCATCAAAAAATTATAAATACACTTAATCTATCAAAAGAAAATTACCAAATACTTTAATACATCAAAAAATTACCAAATGCATTTAACACATGAAAAAAAATTGCCAAATACATTTCACAAAAAAATTACCTAATACGTTTAACACATCAAAAAAATTACCAAATGCATTTAACACATCAAAAAATTACCAAATACACTTAATCCATCAAAAAAAATTACCAAATACATTTAACAGATCTAAAATTTGCCAAAAATATGACCAAAATATTATAAAAATATTACAAATACATTTAACATATTTATAAAAAAAATGACAAATACATTTTGCACATTTATCAAAAACTTACCAAATAGTTGTATTAATATCGAAATCTGATGATAATTCAAAAAGCTTTTGATTATCACCGCCATTTTAAATCGTACTGTTTTGCGTTGTGTGCCTTGAAACGATAGTCAAGCTTTTAATCTTAATAGGATAGCCATGTTTTAATTTGCTGGATCTTTAATAGCCCAGATCGACTTCCTGGCTCCATGGAATGTTAACAACGAAATGTGAGGTACATAAATAGAAAAAATATATATCAAAAAAAGAGAGAATAAAAGAAATGGTAATTTCAATCAACTCCTGACATCTGAGTCTAAATATTTGTTTTCCCGCTCAAGACACATCTATTGAGGATGTTTGAGCGAACAAATGATTGTCTTCTTGTCCGATGTTTGTCTTCTTTCCTTTATTTGTTTGTATGTTTGGGTCAGACATTTTTTTTTTTAAATTTTCATTTATTTATTTTTTGTATTCTTCTCTCGTTTCTCGCCGGGTTTGACACGGACGGAATTATTTTATTTACCACGATTTTCTTGTAAGGTTTACGATTTTTTTTTATTATTTTGTTTTAGCTAAGGGAGATTTATCTCAATATTTGCACAATGCATTTAAAGTATTTTACCCGATTGGATCCCTCGGTACCATATTTTTTTTCATTTTTTTAACGTTATTTTTATTATTCATATAATCTCACCTGTTAACTAAAGTGAAAATATATACAAGCTTTTGCCTGTAACGAGAAAATCTTACAATTCATTAATACCTGAGCATGTTCGAACGTCACTGACTATATCACACAGGTAGCCTTATACATCACTTGATGAACAATCACTAACACATTTAGCTGCATGTAAAACTCACTTCCTTTCCCCATTAAAATATTTTCAAAAGCTATAGCCTGCATCATATAAATCTAAAGCCTGTTCATATCTATCTATCTATCTATCTATCTATCTAAGCCTGTTCGTATCTATCTATCTATCTATCTAAGCCTGTTCGTATCTATCTATCTATCTATCTATCTATCTATCTAAGCCTGTTCGTATCTATCTATCTATCTATCTATCTATCTATCTATCTATGCCTGTTCATATCTATCTATCTATCTATCTATCTCAGTGTTCAGACACGCACACATAGATATAATATACGCGGCTACACATTTATAATGCATACGCACTTATCGAAATAGCTCAGCCAACGTGACGCATGCATACGCTACTTATACAAGATTCTTTTTATGGAAATAAAATGCTGACCCAATAAAATTTCGTTAAAATCAAATTGCCGTAAACCTTGAGAGTGACATTAGGTGGATGAAAATGTCCGGAAGCTGATGGTTGTGTTAGCATGAATTCTTAAGTCATCGTGACCGATTGTTTTTGAAACACGTGATCACTCCCAATTATGTGGGTTTTTCCCTAGAAACGGTAACGGATTTCCGCTAAATATAGTGGTCTCTCTGGATGTTCAACTATAATATAATGTCTTCGCAATCGTCTGCAATATATATATATATATATATATATATATATATATATATATATATATATATATATATATGTAAGCAAATGTAAATGGATATAAATCCGACAGAATGAAGAAAATGAATACTAGACCTAGTTCTTTAATATTTCCCCTTTTAGCGAGATTAATGCTCGAAAAGCATACACATAAAAATTTTAGATCCTAATAGAATTCTTTTCATTTTCTTTTCATTTCAAAATAATCCAAAATTTTAGGAATACGTTTTGAAAGCGTCGCCCATGTGACGACAACGTGACCATGCTAAACGGAAAGCTGATCATTTTAAAATTTTCAGTTATCTGTTTTGATAAGACTTGTTTTTTTATGTCCATCGTCTTTGTCAAATTGAACTGAATTGTATTTTAATGAATATTGTCTTGAAAAAGGTTTATTAAACCGAAACGTTCAGACGTCGACATTTCATGCATTTTAACCAATATAATTGCATTTAAAGATTTTTGTTTGTTTTTCCAAAAATTTTCTTCATATATATATATATATATATATATATATATATATATATATATATATATACATTATACATATATATATATATATATATATATATATATATATATATATATATATATATATATATATATATATATTTTGGTTGGATAGATGAGTTTGTGACCTAGGTTTCACGCTTTAGCGATTCACTTTTCACATATATATATATATATATATATATATAAAAAAGGAACATTGAAGTTAGCACTCAGAGGTAACAGGCTGTTTCATACTAGACGCAATCATCAGGCCGCGAGTGTTGGCTTTTTTCTCGACTGTTTATATATACTGGTCAGTGGTGTACTGTGGGTAGTCCATTCTGGCGGCTATTTTGGCAGGGTGGCTTGTTTATTTATCTATTTATTTATTTTCGTTTTTTATTTCATATATTTATTTATTCTTTTCGGTTTTCGATATTTTATTAATGTTGTAAACATTTTGGCGGGAAATTGCTTAGGCCGCTTATTTGAAAGTTTGTTTTAGTCTGGGAAGATAATTAAAGTTATTTTTTCATCCACATTTTGGATCGATGGCTGTAGTCTATTCTTTTATTTTGACGGGGGGGGGGCAGATTTTAATTTATTTATTATTTTAATGATTTATTTGGATTGATCATTTTTACTTGCTTTTGCTTATTTATTTGGATTTTTATTTGTCCTAACGGTTATTTTAGCTGGAGCGGTCTGTTAATTTCTTTATTTCTTTATTTATTTGGATTAATTTATTTTACTTGTTTTTACGTATTTATTTACTTATTTTTTATTTTGTATATTTTTATTTACTCTTTTCGGTATTCGATGTTTATTATCTACTTTATTTATTTGTATTGATTATTTTTACTTGTTTCATTTATGTATTTATTTTTATACTTATTTATTCGTCTATTCTCTCGGGAGTGGTTTGTTAATTTTTTTTATTATTTCCTTGGGTTAATTCATTTTACTTGGTTTTTTATTTTTAATTTGTATATTTTGATTATTTTTATTTATTCTGTTCAGTTTTCAATTTTTAAGTAACGCAGTTAAAATTTGTTTTCAAAAAATGTATGTCTGCATTTTGAGATGAGCTCAGATCGTTTATTTAGTAATTTATTTTTGTCTGGAAAAGTAATAATAGCTATTTTTAACTCCAAGCAAAATTTTTCACGTTTTGGATTGATTATTGTAGGCTGATGATCTTTTCCTTATTTTCCATGATATTTTTGGTGTGAGTTGCGTTTTGTTTTTAGTTTCCTAGATATATTTAGAAACAAATGGGCTGTTCGCGTATTTACTATTTGTGAAAGATGTTTTCTGTGCATAGTTTCTTCGTTTCCAGGGTCATTCTGTTGCTCCTATGTATACTTTTTCTGCATTGTCTGGTGATTTTACCGTGGCTCAGTATATTAGGTTGCTTTGTAAGCAATTACCATTTAAGAGACATTCGTTCTTATTCTACAGTTACAATTTCTTCGGGTGGTTTGTTGATAGTTTTCCTGTTGTGCTTTTTTATTATTTGTGCCATGTTCTCGGTGCAACTGTAGCTGATTTATTATATATAAAAAGGGTGTAACAGCAAAATACCCAACATGTATCTTAGAAATAATTAAAGATATCTTACTGGAATTCTCCGAGGTTTTTATAATCCTATTGGATTCTACTTTGAACACTAAGAATGTATTTAGCTCTAAGTTGAAATGATGAACCTTTTGCTGTTTTGATCTCCTGATCTAGTTTTATTGTTTCCTCTTTTTAAAACTAATTCACTGTTCTCTTGAGGCTTCTTGAATGAATTTTGCAGATGGAAGGTAGTCTATGAATCCTTCTACCATTACTGAAGGCCTGAATGATATTTTTCGTCTCACTATTGCTCAGTTGGGGACACAACGGCTCTGATACAAAACTATTTTAACCTGTTCTCTTCCTAGGTGAATAACTCAGAGGGATTTTCAGTGATTCTTACGAAAAATGGTGTCAAGATGGCTAAATGTCTTACTTGAAAATCTGGAAAATAAACTCAATTAGTTTAATGTTTGTTTTTTTTTTTTTAAGATTTAAACAATTTGTGGGATGGTTTGGTATTGAACTTGCGACCTGGTATTTTAAATGACAAGGTTTGATCAAATGCTTGCACAATTTTGCTTTTTACACGCGATATATATATATATATATATATATATATATATATATATATATATATATATATATATATATATATATTATAATTTTATCATGTAGATATATTTTACTCACCAAAGATGTAACTTGGTTTCAGTGCGTAAGTGCAGTTGAACTGCACTGAAACCAAGTTGCATTTTTTAGTGAGTAAAATGGTTTTGTCTATATGATAAAATTCTAATAAAGAAATAATTATCGCTCAGCTATCGGCATCGAGCCCTCTTTTGGATTAATGCTGTGAACTTTGGAATTTATACATTACTTTCGTTCTCATTGCATCGGATATATATATATATATCTTAAAAAGATGAAACGCTGACCGAAACACTACCGCGGTTTCGACCACCAAGGTCCCGTCAGATATATTATATATATATATATATATATATATATATATATATATATATATATATATCAGACAATTAATCAGAGACAACACAAGAATTTAAATACCTTAATGTGGCACCGGAAGTAATGGGGGAATGAGGGTGGAAGCAAAGGGGAGGGAAAATCTTTTCCCGACCTCATCCGGGTTAGTAGAGCCCCAGAGTTAACGTGTCCTTATGTGCCCTTATTTGGCCATGATCTCAGACCTCGTATTCATGAAATTCGGTCTCTAATGAATGACAAACGCAAAAAATAAAGATAAGAAATTAAATGTATTTGCATAATAATACAAGGGGTATATTGTTAGTAAATCCAGGAACGCGGTTAATCGTAATAATAATAATAATAATATATATATATATATATATATATATATATATATATGTCTCGAAGTAGGACTTCCTTAGAGTCTACGTGCTTGTAACTGACTTCTACAAGCGGTTACCTCACACTATTACTCTAACTTCAACTCAATCCCAATCTCTGCTCACTCTCCCAATCTCTCTCAATCTCCGTATATTCTGACTGACTGTGGTTATTTAACGGCAGCAGTCCCAGTAACACTCTGGTCGAGTCCACTTATATGAAAAAGGGGTGGACCCCATACCAGTTTGCGAGTAACAAATCTAGAAAATATAGCACATGCAGGAGAATTTCCCATCCCAGCTCTATGAGGGTTTTTTTTTCAACGCATGAACCATTATTCAGCATAATCATTGGTTGATTTTCTTTCTCAGAAAAAAAGGCTCCTGCCTTTCAGCTGGGCAATATACTCAATGGATGATGGCGCAGCAATATTTTATTGAAGTTCCAGCAATCTATTGTAAGTCACTAACTTTGAATCTCACCAAAAACAGAAAAAAAACAACTTTATTTTTCTACATGTTGAAATCGTCTTATAGAGAGTTTCTTATATTTATACCTCTTAGTTATTTTAATCACTAGTTATACCCATGAGAAAGATAGTAATGAACTGTTTATATCACGGATTGGACACCATTAATTTGCTGTTATCTGACTCATAGTCTGACCAGAAAACATCTCGTTACTTGAGCTATAACTTCTGTTTTCCACTGTGTCACTGACAACTTCAGTTTAATTACATCAACTCAAAATTGGCCACTACTTGATTTCACTCCATTACCAACTAATAATGCGCACTTGTTCTTAGCCAAGCAGAAGTGGCAGGAGGAGACAACGCAATAATAGTGAGAGGAGTCTTCATCCAATTAACTAACACTTCATTTTGGATTCTCGTAATAGATTTATTTATCAGTACGAGTGACTATCTTGTCCAAAAAAGTTTTTTTTTTCTATTTACGTTCGAACAATTGACAACCGGATCCTCTTTTCCATTTGGTAGATGCATTGCTTCCAAATTAGCTTCTTTTCTTTTATTCTTCAGACATGTTGAACGCAAATAAAAGAGGGGGGATCACTTTCATATAACCCATGGCCAGAAACTGCATGCCTTACACACACACGCGCACACGTCTTTATCTATCTATCTATCTATCTATATATATATATATATATAGGGTGCGATGGGTAAATCGGCACCAAACTGGTCCCTTATTTTGTGTCCGTTTTACATTAAGCGAATTTTGTTAAGATCAGGATAACTGGTAAAATTAGATAGCATAAGAGGTTGGACGGAATGTTTCTAAAGAGGGGGTTCACTTTATAACATAAGAATAATGCCAAACTGGTCCCTGATTTTGTGTCCGCTATGCATTAAGAGAATTCTGGTAAAATTAGATAGCATAAGAGGTTGGACGGAATGTTTCTAAAAGGGGTTCACTTTATAACATAAGAATAATGCCAAACTGGTCCCTGATTTTGTGTCCGCTATGCATTAAGAGAATTCTGGTAAAATTAGATAGCATACGAGGTTGGACGGAATGTTTCTAAAGAGGGGTTCACTTTATAACATAAGAATAATGCCAAACTGGTCCCTGATTTTGTGTCCGCTATGCATTAAGAGAATTCTGGTAAAATTAGATAGCATAAGAGGTTGGACGGAATGTTTCTAAAGAGGGGTTCACTTTTATAACATAAGAATAATGCCAAACTGGTCCCTGATTTTGTGTCCGCTATGCATTAAGAGAATCAAAATCTGGTAAAATTAGATAGCATAAGAGGTTGGACGGAATGTTTCTAAAGAGGGGGTTCACTTTATAACATAAGAATAATGCCAAACTGGTCCCTGATTTTGTGTCCGCTATGCATTAAGAGAATTTGGTAAAATTAGATAGCATACGAGGTTGGACGGAATGTTTCTAAAGAGGGGGTTCACTTTATAACATAAGAATAATGCCAAACTGGTCCCTGATTTTGTGTCCGCTATGCATTAAGAGAATTCTGGTAAAATTAGATAGCATAAGAGGTTGGACGGAATGTTTCTAAAGAGGGGGTTCACTTTATAACATAAGAATAATGCCAAACTGGTCCCTGATTTTGTGTCCGCTAACATGAATTAAGAGAATTCTGGTAAAATTAGATAGCATAAGAGGTTGGACAGAATGTTTCTAAAGAGGGGTTCACTTTATAACATAAGAATAATGCCAAACTGGTCCCTGATTTTGTGTCCGCTATGCATTAAGAGAATTCTGGTAAAATTAGATAGCATAAAGAGGTTGGACGGAATGTTTCTAAAGAGGGGGTTCACTTTATAACATAAGAATAATGCCAAACTGGTCCCTGATTTTTGTGTCCGCTATGCATTAAGAGAATTCTGGTAAAATTAGATAGCATAAGAGGTTGGACGGAATGTTTTTCTAAAGAGGGGTTCACTTTATAACATAAGAATAATGCCAAACTGGTCCCTGATTTTGTGTCCGCTATGCATTAAGAGAGAATTAAAATCAAAATGGTAAAATTAGATAGCATAAGAGGTTGGACGGAATGTTTCTAAAGAGGGGTTCACTTTATAACATAAGAATAATGCCAAACTGGTCCCTGATTTTGTGTCCGCTATGCATTAAGAGAATTCTGGTAAAATTAGATAGCATAAGAGGTTGGACGGAATGTTTCTAAAGAGGGGTTCACTTTATAACATAAGAATAATGCCAAACTGGTCCCTGATTTTGTGTCCGCTATGCATTAAATCAGAATTCTGGTAAATTAGATAGCATAAGAGGTTGGACGGAATGTTTCTAAAGAGGGGGTTCACTTTATAACATAAGAATAATGCCAAACTGGTCCCTGATTTTGTGTCCGCTATGCATTAAGAGAATTCTGGTAAAATTAGATAGCATAAGAGGTTGGACGGAATGTTTCTAAAGAGGGGGTTCACTTTATAACATAAGAATAATGCCAAACTGGTCCCTGATTTTGTGTCCGCTATGCATTAAGAGAATTCTGGTAAAATTAGATAGCATAAGAGGTTGGACGGAATGTTTCTAAAGAGGTTCACTTTATAACATAAGAATAATGCCAAACTGGTCCCTGATTTTGTGTCCGCTATGGCATTAAGAGAATTCTGGTAAAATTAGATAGCATAAGAGGTTGGACGGAATGTTTCTAAAGAGGGGGTTCACTTTATAACATAAGAATAATGCCAAACTGGTCCCTGATTTTGTGTCCGCTATGCATTAAGAGAATTCTGGTAAAATTAGATAGCATAAGAGGTTGGACGGAATGTTTCTAAAGAGGGGGTTCACTTTATAACATAAGAATAATGCCAAACTGGTCCCTGATTTTGTGTCCGCTATGCATTAAGAGAATTCTGGTAAAAAAATAACTTAGATAGCATAAGAGGTTGGACGGAATGTTTCTAAAGAGGGGTTCAAATTTTATAACATAAGAATAATGCCAAACTGGTCCCTTGATTTTGTGTCCGCTAAAATTAGATTTAAGAGAATTCTGGTAAATTAGATAGCATACGAGGTTGGACGGAATGTTTCTAAAGAGGGGGTTCAATCTACTTAACTCGTCGAAAAATCAGTAAAAACGATTTAAAGGAAATAAAAATTCCATACCATCACGTCATCCTGCTGTTTCGGTAATCCCTTCTTTACCATTCTTGAAATTCTTCTTGAACAACTGTTTGTAGTTATTTACAAGTTCACAGAAAAACGGATATAAGATATTGGGTGATGTGGTGTTTCTTCCGAGTTCGTCAGCCATTGTTACGGTCAAGAACGTGATGTTGAAAGCCAAGGAATTGTAGTTCTTCCTGTTTCGTTTCAGGAAATAGTCTTTTCAAGTAAATGAAAATCTCGTTCCTGCTTCAAATGTCTGGACAGAGGGAATGGCAAACTCTGTGGCGGGGGTGACCATTTTTGGAGATTCCTTCAAGGAAATAAAGATCTCGTTTGATGTTGCTTTAAGACGAAACCACGAAGCTGGCAAACGAGAAGTACCGAAATCGATTCCATCGTTTTGGGAAAAGACTTAAAATCTACTTTGATTCTGTATCCCGCCATAGGAGGAAAGAGAATTATCGCAAGATATTTAGAAACACTGCTTTTTCAGCTAACTGTTTTAGAGAAAGCTTTCGTGACCTAAGATTGGATAAACGGATATTTGATATTGCGGGATATGTTGTTTCGTCCAAGCTCGTCATCTATTACTAAGCGAAACACTCGGTTAAGGAAAAGATGTTGACAGCCAAGGGATTGTAGTTCTTTCTGTTTTGTTTCAACAAAAAGTCTTTTTAACTGAATGAAATAAGATGCTTGAAAATGATGTTTCTCCTTCAAACGACGCCAGCAGATTGCAGACGAGAAAAATGACGTTGTTTTAAGCGAATTGGTATCTACATTAGATCAGTACAATTTATTATCACCTGGTTCAAAATTTTCTGTCTGTTATCCGAATATGGCGACAAAAATGAGGACAATTGTCTGAATAATGTAAATAATGTACATAATACCTCATCTCGGAAATATAGACAAATACTGAATAATAATCTTGTCGGCATTAAATAAGCCATTGAGGTTGATATACCGTAAAACAAAACAGAAACTAAACTAAGCGAAGAATATAATGTTGACAGTTAAGGAATTGTAGTTATTCCCGTTTCTTTTGAGCAAATAATCTTTGTAACTGAATCAAAATTCTTTTCCTACTTCCAGTGATTCACATTGGTTGGGTCCACAACAATCATCTTTAAGGTCATCCATAAATTCTATTTATCCAATGCAGCTGTTATTCTTTTGATAACAGTATCCACTTTTCCATTTCGTAGGAAGTAAGCACGACGCTGAGATCCGAATTCGTACTGGAATGGCCAAAGACGCATTCCAAAAGCTAGGCAGATCATTACGAGATAGGGTGATTTCTTTGGTAATAAAGAAAAAAGTACTGGGCTGCTGTGTGACATCTATCCCCCTTTACGGCAGTAAATGTTGAACGGTCTCCTCAAAGCTGAAGAAGAGACTCGAGGCAACGAAGGTATGGTTCTACAGAAGGATGATGCGGATGTCATCGACGGAGCGTGTGAGCCACGATGAGATTCTGAAGAGGATGCAAACAAGGAGGAAGATTATACGTAACACCAGGAAGACTCAGTTGATATGTCAGGGATACGTAATGAGAAAGGAGGGCTGGGAGAATCTGATACTCACAGGTCGAATAGAGGGAACGACAGACAAGGAAAAGAAATGCATGACATACTTAGAATCCTGGCTTTCTTTCCATAAAACTGACAATCTTTTCAATAGCTTTTTCATTTTCAGTCCCGGTTTCATCAAAATCATGTTTTTTTCATTTCCTTGTTCATTGTGACAGTATGAACGCCGGAGAATAATTTCTTTGGAAGATTTTATACCATACAGTGTTGACTTCCCGATGTTGAACTCAGGCATTGAAGTCAACACTAAGAGGCGACAGGCTGTTTCATGCTAGACGCAATTTATATTTAGATACTCTCTATCTCTGATATTGAGCACTTTATCCCATAAATATAGCACGCCTTATATATATATATATATATATATATATATATATATATATATATATATATATATATATATATATATATATATATATATATATATATATATATATTCAGATAGATTAGGGAAAAAAATCTCCGACTGATACCAAATCAGTCGAGTTTCGATCCTAGCTTGAGGCAATCGGATCTAGTCACACTGATGAGCTGAGATACAGTGAAATACATCTGTCTTTGGATGAAAATATATACACACACACACACACACACACACATCCTACCTTTGATTGATAGAGATTTTTCCCTGTCCATTCATTCACGTCATCCGCGACAGACTTTCTAATCATAATTTGTTTCCCCGTTTACAGTTCTGACAAGTTGGGGCGAACTATGTCTACTGTATTAAAAACTGCAGTTTGCGGATTAGTTACTATATCGTTAAATAAAAAGTATGAATTCAGTGAACATTTCGTGTAATTATTGTAAAATTTACAGTTTTGACTGGCTTCATTTATTAATAAAATATCAGGAGAAATAAAAACATTCATATATTTTTTTCCAATCAGAAGCATTCAGACTACAAATAAGTCAATATTGATTTCAAATATATAATCGACAAATGCATAAATCCGACAGGCAGTAAGAAGCATCCGTAAGCATATCTATCAATCTAACTCAGTCTGTTCATATCTATCTATCTATCTATCTATCTATCTATCTATCTACAACTGTAAATTCTATGCTGACTGTTTCTTCTATCGCACTTCCCGCCTGTGGGACACTATTCCAACGTCTTGCTTCCCAGTCATCTTTGATCTCGAAAAATTTAAATTGAATCGTTATCTTCTTAATTCCTCTTCTATAGTATTTTTCTCATATTCTCTAACACTCAGTAACTCCTTGCATCTTAGTGGCTTTATTACCTTGCTTGAAGTTGAATGATACAAAAATACTATCTATCTATCTATCTATCTATCTATCTATCTATCTATCTTATGGAAATAAAAAAAGGCAAGACAAGCTTTACAGTTCATGGTTAAAATATCCTGCTACAATATATTTGGCATCATTTATTTATTTCCTTTTTTAAACCTACATCGAGATTCATATTTTTATATTTATATATTAATTTATACATATCTAAAATAATATATTCACTTTACTGACAGACTATATATGGTAATTTTAAGTTAATATATTAGAATTTAATTACGCATAATGGAGACATATTTTTTTTTAAAAATAATTATAATATATATATATATATATATATATATATATTATACTAGCAGTAGAGCCTGGCGTTGCCCGGGGATATAACAGTAAGAGATAGATCAAGTATCGACCATCATAAAGACTAAAAAATAAAAATTGACAAAGATTATTGTTTAAGGTTGACGGATACGCATGTCTTAATTAGTTTTTTTTGTTTTGTTTTTTACGAATTGGTCAAACCCAAACTCAAACAAAAACATTGTTTTCAATCGTTATGAGGTCTACCGATTGAATAGAATTTTACTATAAACAATTGTCTTGTAAATTGAATTTTTAAAGCATTCTGAATGTAAAAATAAAGAAAAAAGTGTGCAAGACATTAAGAAACACTACTTGCCAAAAAAAAAGACGTGAACTTTTGTTGAAATCGGTTGAAAAATGTAGGAAATCCGATCCCATATATAAACACACACATACAACCTGGGTTTTATAATAAGTATATCTCGATATGAGTTGTCCCCCTTTCATTCTCGCGATTAATCGTGTTTTCAAATTGATTTTGTGCAAAAACAATTGTGTTTTTCCAATTTTTGGCGCTGTTAGAACCACCGCAAGGTAATTTTATGTAGTCCTGTGAAGTTTTGCTGAAATCGGTTGAAAAATTTAGGAAATCCGATCCAATATATAAACGTACAGACACACACACAATCTGCGTTTTATAATAAGTAAGATTATGGAAATAAAAAAAACGGCAAGACCAACTTTACCTTTCATGTTTAAAAAAAAAACAAACCCAAAAAACAGCTGACCGGTTTCGTCCTCGCTCAACAGAGCTGGAATCGAAGTAATAAATGTTACAATATAAAATATAAAATATCATATATGTTGTGGATTCCGAGATGAATTCGGGGTCCAAAGAAATGACAAACGCAATAATTAAATATAAGAAATAAAATGTATTTACACAATCATACAAAGGATAATACTGTTAGTAAATCCAGGAACGCGGTTAGTAGCAAATACAGATAGATATATACAGTCTCGAAGTAGGACTTCCTTAGAGTCTACGTGCTTGTAACTGACTTCTACAAGAGGTTACCTCACACTATCTCCGTTCGTATATTCTCTCTCTCTCTCTCTCTATCTCTCTCTCTCTCTCGCCGTATATCCTCTCTTTATCCGACTACCCTCACAGACTCTCACT